AGGGCTGTTAAGGTAGTTTTAGTAAAAGGAATTATTCTATGATAAAAATTTCGAACTGTTTCGTTTTGTTTCATTGTAGTATTTTAAAGTTCTGCCATGTGTTCATGATATGATTTGGTTAGTGAGAATTCTTGTTTCAGATGTATTTTTAACTGATCGATTGATGCAACAGTAGAACCTACTAAACTCTCTCGAGCTTTGCCTTTGAGTCTAGAAATAACTGTGCGAAGGTACATAGGTTCTTGAGCGGCTGTTATTAGAGTTCGTATATTTTCTACATCTTGTAAAAAGTCTTTTAAGGGAGTCGAGTATCCATCATAAAAAGGTATGTGTTAAGATGCTTGATTTATGCACATTAATGAATTAGTCGTAATTAATCCTTGTGAAACATTTAAAAACTGTTGTATAAGAGAGTCGTTCACTGATGGGTTTTCTCTACTATTTCCGGGCATTTTTATTTATTTNTTATAGCATCAGAGCGAGCAAAAGAGGCCTTTGGTTAAATTAGGTCAACCAATGAGCGATGTTCTTGCAGACTGCGTTGACAGTTGCACGATGATGTTACATGTTATGATTTTACATATTAGGAAATAACAATACAACAGTACCAATCGCATTTTCTGACAAGTGCGATTGAGTTTTTGGGTCAGTGATGATGAAAGCTCGTATCAGCAATATAAAAACGCCAAATACAAGTTCAATTGTGACAGTAAATTTACAATTTAGAAATAAATCCTTCTAAGAATTTTACAACCAACTTTGAATGTAATGAAGTAATGTGTGGATTACAAATTTTTAATTAGTATACATTATCAGATTTAAACAATTTATGAGCAAGTAACTATTCATTCATACATACATGCATTTTTACAATGAGGCTGGCCGTATTCTATGTCAGCATATTATGAAGCATTCACCTTAAAGCTAATACACACACGCGCACACATAAACGACATACAAGCTTCTCTTGTCATGTGAGTTTGCTTTATATTCACAATATGTCTTATCGAAATTTTGATGGACGGATAGTTTTTAGTTATAATATAATTCGTGTTAACTTGGGATGTAACAACGATAAGATACGGTTTTTAATTTAACATTTTTTTTCTTCGAGATTATAAGTTTTGAGGAATGCAGTTTTTTCGCTTATTGATTATTGAAAATTCGCTTTTTTTAAGCAGGTCATCTATCAGTTATTAAATTTTGTTTTAAGATGTTTAACATCAATAAATCTGAAATATCTTAAAATTTCAACTGTAAAGAATATTTGGACAGAAATAAAAAACTTTTGTGAGGCTGTTAGTGAGCTCGTGTGTATGAAGTTTTCATCGACTCAATTTTTCACAGAAATACAATAAAAAATTTAAACTCTATTGAATCAGTAGAATATTTTATTTTAGAAAGTTTGAAAGATTATAGTTTTTTTCACACAGAGCCTTATTATTATAAGAACAATAAAGTTGACACATGAGTGTGTGTGAGTGTTTCAGTGCGTAAATGATCAGTTGAACCTTAACCTGTGCAGGAAATGGTATAGAGCCCACTTTTCTTCTGTTGCTATTGTTCAATAAAAGAATTTCAATAACCTTACGATTTATCGATCTCTTGATTTTAAGAATAAGAACCAAACATTACGATTCCAACGTCACAAAAAAAAATGAATTGTTACAACATATTACTTTAAAAAAATTTTTAAAATAATATTCCCAAACCCCATTTTCATCTTAATAAAAGTGAGGACGTAATATAAGAAATCAAAACATTCGGAATCCCAAATGACTATCTACTGGTTTCTCTGGATGTCACTTCTCTCTTTACAAACATAACTTGAAAGGTAATTTTAATTTTTTTTAACTTTCGGGTTACTGTGACAGCTTGTTGGCCTAACTAACCTAGTTACCGAGGCTACTCATTTATCATCCATGTGTGGGAGTGTACTGCAAAAACCATTTACCAATCACCAAACTGATATCATACCTAATTAATACAAAACGTATTGTGCATATACACAAGCTCATTTGACACGTGAAGCTCATACGTGACTTAAATGCATGTGTGTAAGTATTAGCTTTAAGGTAAATTAAGGTTTCATAGTATGCTGACATATAATACGGCCAGCTTTGTTGTAAGAATGAATGTATGTATTAAAATTGGTAGTTACATGCGTGAATGCATAAATTGTATTGTACGTATGAATAAATAGTTTACCCACGCATTTATTATCAATTTCTAATAGTGAATACCAATTTAAAAACAAATTAACATATTATTCGATTATTTTAAAAATTGATTGTAAAATCCCCGAAAGGATTAATTGAAAAATTTGTTAACTTTTTTATCACACTTTAACTTATATTTAGTGTTCCTTTTATTGCTGATACGAGCATTCATCATCACTGATCCAAAATACTCGATCGCACTTGTTAGAAAAATAAGATTGGTACTGTTGTATTGTTGTTTCCTAACACATTTAATTATAACATGAAACCATCATCATGCAAGCCTACTGTTTTGCTGTTAACGCAGTTTGCAAGAAAATCGCTCATTGGTTGACGTAATTCAACCAAAGGCCCCTTTTACCATCTCTGACGTTATAAAATCGCACTATCAAGAGGAAAAATCGCTCTTTTTACGTCTGTCACCTGTCCTCTAAATTTTTAGTCTACTCTTGACTCCCGCGACTTGCGAATACCTTATACACGTAAGGCGTAACGTGTTGGCTGAGGCGATTCGGGTGCATTTCGAGAAAAGCAATAGTATCGAACTACGCTAAGAAGTGAGGTACATCGAAGGAGACCCACCGTAAGTGGTTTTAGCGATGGCAGATAAAGCAGAAACCGCAACATTTTGCCGGTCACGAATTTGCTCATGTAGTTTAAGGAATCACTAAAAACTACTGCACAAAGCGTTAGGAAACTCAGAAGCAGCAGTAACAACAATTAGTGATAGATGTAAGTTATTTATCAGTAACGTAATTAATACTTAACCTCGTTAAAGTGTTCCAAGTAAATTGTATTTAAAAAAGAAACTGTTTTAAATTGTTTTAATAAAAGTATACATTAATTAAAATTATTCATATCTTTCAAATAAAACATTTTCATTTAACTACAAGAAACAAATTAAGCTTATGAACTAAACCCTAAGAGACTCTAAACAAGCCCGATCATAACACTTGTGCTAGGTAGTGTCTACTTCTTTTATTTCAACAAAATAGGGAACAGCTACATAAAAGTATGACGAAAACTAGAGAATATCCTAGTCAACGCAAAAAGTAACAAGATGCGTTGGTGACGAAACACTGGAGAAAGCCCGTACTAAAGGCTAAGCCTTTGCGACTCTGGCTCGAAGTAGTAATGCGAAAGCGGATTCTAAGCCGTGTGTCTCAGGAGATAGGTCTTGCCAGATTAGTAGGTATTCAGTCAATATCGCTAAGAACATCGTAGCAAGAAATAAGCACTTTTAGTCTGACTACGATTTTCACACAGGGAAGGGGTTCGTACCCCTTTCGATCGTGCATCAAGGCATTTTCGATGATCTCGGATAAAGAAAAAAAAAAAGGAAATAAAATAAAATAAAAATAGTAATAATCATTCTCCTCTAAGGTATGCATGACCTTGATGAAGATGGCACTGCTTGCAGCTTAAATCCGATGAAGAGGCTTTAAACCAAAAAGCACACCACCTTGTGTATACGGGTAAGCAACGGCTAAAATATTTTCTTCAGAGCATACACTACACTGACTTAGAGATTAACTCACGGGTTGTCCTCTGGGGCTGGCCAAGTGCATCGTTCGTTTACGGTGCAGGAATTTCAGCAGAATGGTCAAGCCGGACGATAAGGCCTGGGTAATATCAGGTAAACATATCTAATAGAGCTGTACGTATCGTTTAGAAAGATGTGGTAGGATTAATAAAACTGACTTTCTACCACTGAGGAGGCTATATTGCGGTGTGGAATGAGAAAGATTTCCAAGTACTCATTGCACAGAAGAACAGTGACGCGGCAAAAAGTAGCTCTGGTTAATACTAAAAAGACTGATGCCCACAAAATAAAATGAATAAGAAACTTACTAATAGGCTTCACCAGCTTCCAAGGAAAAAGAAGCGTTGAAGTCCTCAGGTGCCTGGAGCATACACACATAGCTTGGAATTACGACAAGGAGGACTGGTCAAAGCTTTGCTTTCAATCACTGTAAAAAAGATTGCAAAGAGTAAGCCCAATGTCTCACTTGCGAATCAGAAAAAGCCAAAAACAGAGTAGGTGGCAGCGGCTACCCAGCATCTAGGAAGGCACTAGAGGAGGTCAAAAACAAGGAGCCTACAAGGCGCAGATAAGATCTTGGAGAACGAAAGTGGGCCACCTATTGCAGAACTAAGCTACGCTGAATTAACTAAGTCATTAGCAAGGGTAAGCAGCGGGAATCAATGTAACCCCAAAACAAAAGATGACTGGACGAAGACATGTGAAGGCAACATTGCGACGGTGACAACACCTTGATGGAACGCCACGTCAACGGTTAGTACTCCATGGCCCCAGCTTTCAGTTTTAATATGAAATTTGATCCTCAGCAGGGCATCCCAGGACATAGGGCTTGCCGGTTTAGTGGGTATTCAGTCTGTATCGCTACGAATATCAAACAACATCTTGAGGCAGACTGCGAGTCTTACACAGGGTTCGCCACCCTTTCTGTCATGCATAAAGGCATTCTAGACAACCACGGTAACAGAAAAAAAAGTAAGGATAGTAAGAAGAATAATAATGATTGTAATAATAACAACAATAACAATAATAATAATTATAATAATAACACTAATGCTAATAATGATATTTATAACTATGACGATGATNATAATAATAATTATAAAAATAATAGAAAAAATAATAATAATAAAGGTTACGTTAGTAATAAAATGAAAAACATTTACAATATTAGTCAAAATAAAACAATCAATGTAACAATAAATTCTTGGAGCATTTAACATAGTAATGATCTGTCTTACCTTATGCCAAGGTTTCACATCAAGCACTAGTGGTGGCACCATACTAACAACTTCTTGTCGACTAATATTTCCACCATTAGTCTCAGCTATTAAGAAATTATGCAATTTGAAAAAATGTTCTGACCGCCTTATATTTTTTCTACTTATTTGTAGTTGCCAGCCCAATCCTTGGGGATAAAAAGGTAAACAATGTGGTTGTATATCTATACTGACATTGTTTGTATCATTAGAACAATCTGTATTAACAATTTCGTTAAAAAAGTCACCTTGAATTATCTTTAGTAATGTTTTAGTTTCTGTCGTAGATCCAGTGATACGAAAAGCAGTAGGGAGATCTTCTTTCATAATTTGAATAAAAGAATTCCACTCATGATCAGAAACTATTTTTTGAGCTCTGTAATATGATTCAAAATCTTTGTTTTCTCTGATAATTTCTGAATATGAACGATGAGGTTCTCGATCCCAATCATCTTTTTTCTACAAAAAAATTTCGATCAACTTTTTATAAAGTTTAAAAAAGGTAATTTTTACATTGATAGGCAACTAAATTTACTCTGTTACAAAACTAAAAGTGGAAACACGTGTTTGTTTGAAACGTTTTTTTAAGTGTTACTACTGAGCTTATAAGGCCGTAAAACAGGAGAAATACACCAAAACCCACTAACCAAAATGATTTTACAAAACTCGACAAAACCTTTCCAGAAGTATTCATTCTAAAATTAAGTATTTCTTTTTTAATTTGAAAAAAATTTCTTTGGTTTTGACTAAGAAAAACTTTTTTTGCCACAAATAACTCCGAGACACTGTAGTCTAAGTAAATAAACACTAAAGCTAACACAGTCGACAGTGTTACTCCGGATCTGACACAGGTATTCAAATACATTTCGTAACATATTTTTACGATGATTGTTCACTGTCTTCTTATCAAAGAATCTTTTTTTTTCTACAGTCATTTTCTAGAAATACAGACCCTGCTGACTTAAAAGGAAAGCCAGCACCCAGTGTTGTCAATTTCCAAAGACCTGGCTAAGATTAAAAAATTCAAATAACAAATTCCACCATAAAGTACACCATGGGGTCTTGGAGATCACTGATTAAAAATTCAATGACAAATATACAAAAATCTACTTCCTTAATCTCTTATTCATAACTCTGGCATAAAATACTGCATATTTAAAAAAATAATCTAGTCACACATTGCTTTATAGATTTTCGGATATCTGATTACGAATTTCATGTCAAACGTACAATAATCCACTAGCCCGTAATTCACCACCCCCTCCCATAAAATACAACATTATTTTGAACACAACCAAGTCACACATCATTTTGTTGCATTGTGGTCACTCATTATAAATTTAATGTCAAATGTATGGTAACCCACCTCCTTATTTAATAAGAATCTTTTATTCACCATCCGTTAGCATCAAATAATACCACAAATTTTTAAAACATAATAGTCACACGTCACTCCACATTTTTTAAGGTGCTAATGACAAATTTGTCTGTCTCTCCCTTTCCTCTCTTCATTAGTAATACTAACACATAAACACACAGAAACGTTACATAATTTAAGATAGATGAGCCAAAACGTTTTCGGTCAAGGCTTGTAACTTTTACTTTTAATTTATTTAAAAATCAAATCACATGAATTTTTTACATCCAAAACTTCAAGATAACAAAAGCAGGCAAGTTAGGCCATCTAATATTGTGTTATATTTTGGTCAATACCCTACAAATAAATTTTCTGCAAATTAAATAACGAGAAAACAAGGAGCAATATAACTTTTTTTATTATAAGGTATACAAATTTGATGATTTCAAGTTTTAGAAAATACTGATGTTTTCGCTTTACTAAGATTTTTGATGCAACTAATGACGGCCTAAAATATTTTTTCTTCATTTTACTTATGTTGAGGAGTAGATTACATTTATTCAAGACCATTCATTTTCACTTTGATTTTTCATGACACTTTTAAGAAATGTGTGATTAACTCTATTAATGTAGTTATTGATAGCAGTAGAACAAAGGCATTGTAACTATAATTTTCAAGTGGTACAGAAAAATCGATAGTAGTAAAAGTAACTTGTAACGTAATGGTTACACGTATACAAGAGCTAACCTAACGAAAAAAATTCTTATAAAAAAAGTTTTTTTCGTCAATTTTTTCCAGCTCTTTTGGAATCAGCTGCACTGCTCAGGGTTATCTAATAGTAATCTTTCATACAAACAAAAAAATGACAGCTTGATATGGATCTTATAAATCCTATTCAAAGTGATTTTCCCATAAGGTTACATTTTGAATTGCAAATTCTGTAAATTAAACATGTGAAAAAGGATACAGTTAAACGATCTGCTATTTTATAAAGGTATTTCTTATTTTCTTAGAAAATTGTTTTGAAACCATTGGAAGATTCGATGAAAGAGCGCAGTTCTGTACTGGCCAGCTGCCATGTTGTTTATATTGTATTGTGCCATAAAATATTGTTCATTATTGTTCTGTTATTAGATATTAAAATATTTATGGAAACCACACCCAACTAACGTAGGTGTACTCATTCAAACGATAATTGCACCACCTTTTTACACAATATCGTTTCATACGAGGTATACTAATATTAATAATTATATTATTAATAATTGTTTTGCTTCACTTGAGATAATGGATTTTTTCATACAGCCCATGCAGAGAATTTACAATTTTCGTTCATAATCATGTGCGTGATTACGTTGATGTATACCTTCTTGATCCTAAAGATTTTTAACTCGATGTTACTTAAAGAATAATTTAAAAATGAATTTTTAAATGATCAGAGATATTTTGCAAGTATCACAGTTCCCTGCAGAATTTATAAAATTTCAAACAGCATCATATGTTTGAACTTTTAACTAAAATCTTCATCTTTGATAATTAGCAGAAAATTTTTTTAAAGCAGCCTAAAAAAAGGTTCAATTGACGAGTTATCAGCAGATGACGCTTTTCGTATGTTTAATATACTTTACTTTTGTTTTTGTTTATTTAAAGCCTTCTAGACAAAGTCCTTAAGACGTAAAGAACACATACAATAAAATTAAACATTGTTATATATATATAATGTCGAAGAACTCTCTTTGATGTTTCTATTAATTTTTTCCCCGTTTCTTGAGAATTCTCTACGATGGCTCGAAAAACGCTAAAGGCATCGACTAACATGCATCCGAAAATTTTAAATGCTCTTAACTTAATTTTCTTTTGGTTAGTTATGTTTCGGATGTGACCAAATAACGTGACTTACATCCTTAAGGCTAATTCCACATTCATAACTCTAGTAAAAACCACAAAGAAAAAGGATTTTGGTCAAAAAGTTTTTTCTGAGCTGGATTGCGCGATCTTTGAGAGTGGTTAGTGTATACCAGATTATCACAGATGCATTTTTAATTTTCAAGGTTGACAAAACTATAATAGTCAACTATTTATTAGGCATAGTTTTTGGATGGAGTTCGAAGCGTTTGAGAATTAGTAACCCACCAGATTTTACATGAAAACATTGCTATTTTTGGAGCTTCAGTGCATCGTGTGAAAACTAGAGATGTCGATCTCAGATCAATTAATTAAAACTCGATTTTTTGAGATGGGATAAGTTGATTTTCAGATTAATCTTACATGTAAAATCGATAACGTAAATTGATTTAGTAGCCCTCTGAATTGGACCACTTTACTTAACGAGTTATACAAAAAGAAGATGACAGAGAGACATATTATAAATGGCAGACAGCAATCATATTCTTACGAACGCGCAACCAAAAACGAGTTAGATTACAGGTTTTACAAAAACTAACCAATCAAATTTAAATTGTATGGACAATTGAAAAATATTATTGGCATTAAATGTATCTACAGGCAATAAATAAATTACCATTGTCATAGAGACTTTTAAAACAGCAGATAATTGCAAAAGCAGAGCGTGTATGTTGTGTGTGATCAGTTGTATCTTACGAATCTTTTAACCTTATTTCATGTAAGAAGACTTTTTAAAAATTTTTAAGTATAGCTGAAAGACATTTTCTAGGGTGCAGTCATATTGGATGCGAGTAAGAACTCTCTAAAATGCTTAAGTTCAAGTTCAAGTTCAAGTATAGTATCTTTTATTACTTAAAGTTGAAAATCTCCCAAACACTTACTTCCTTGTCAAAAAATAAATAAATAACGCTTAAAATTTGCAAGTTCTGCTGTTCAGCGTGTCATTATCTATTAGCCATGTGTGAATAATTTTTGTTTGCGCGCATTCGTGCGACGTAATCGCGTATTATCCTCACACTTTTATTGCCCTGAAGAGGACGTCTGCAGGACGTCGAAATATTGGCCTTTGTAGATTATTATTGAAATAGTCACGCTCTACTTCCAAATTTTAAGCTTTAATTATTTATTTTTTATTACTGTTGTTGATTTACAAAAACAACATTGACTCATATAAATTAATAAAACGTAACCTACAAAAGTAGAAAAGAAATTTTTAAAAAGACAATAGTTAAAATTTATACAATCGTAATAAACACTCAACTGCCAATTACTTTCGTTAAAAAGAAGTTATCTCGATAATTTTTTTTCAAAATTGTGTAAAAATATAGGGGAGACCAGGGCAAAATAGGGTAAAAAAAGAAAAATGACCATTACAGTGAAATAATGTATTATATTAACACTTCAAAGACATTAACATAAAGCAAAAAGCTTTACCATCATAATTGATGTGTGGAAATCATGAAAAATCAGTCCAAAGTGATTTTATAGACATAAAATTTTGCACCTAAGAAAACTAATACCACCCTGGTGCTGGGACGGTATGAGTTTTACACCGGGGCGCTATGTTTCGATAATTCATAGAATAAAGTGGACTGGTACAAATAAAATTATAAAACTTCCGAAGTTTTATTAATCTGTAAACAGCTGAATAATTCTTAGAATATTCAACAGTAGACATTAGTATACAAGTAATTCGAGCTTATCATATAATTATGTATCACTTTTCAAAGAATACTAATATTACAAATCAAGTCTTAATACAAATTTTCATAAAATTTTGGTATAAAATCATTACAACCATGACGAGAAAAAATACTGAACGTCTTGAGAGTCACTTGGAATAGGCTCGAGCATATATGGTAAACTAAGATTCGGATTCATGTCTTGCAGAGCATTAATAATAATAATCTCATTATTGACCTCCTTGCAGCCAATAAGTTATTCAGCGTATTGGTACGATTACTTAGAGGATTTCTTTTATTCTTTTGCTAATTGCAACTGGTTTTTTATCTTTATTTTTTTAAGTCTCTAACGCAGCCGTATATTCTTTATCAAAACGATAGCTGCTTTCCCTTTGCGTCTTTTTTTTGCAGGCTAAAAAACAAAGAAGTTTTTTACTACATTAAATAATAGTAGACATTTGACGTACGTAAAACTACTGAAAACTGTGTACTTGAGTTATAGGAATAACTTATG